CTGTGTCACAAAGATGTCTCAATAGATCATCTCTCAGCAGGAATTTGAGACAGTTTTATCAGATGAACACAGGTATACGAGGAAGGGAGAAGGTCACAATGTGTTTTGAAACCCTAAGATAGAGATGTGAAAACTTTCCCAGCTGCTGAGTTGAAAAGAAAGGAGAATCAAAACAAAAAAGAGAAGAGTTTGCAGAACTATAATCAGATGCAAAGTAGTAAACGTGTAGGTGTGTAACACTGGAAGCACATTAGCCTCAACTGGAGATTTGTTTTTTATTAAACTTTTCATTTTGAGATAAATGGAGAACTCATAAAGCTGTAAGCACTGCCATAGAGTTCTCATGTTCCTTTGAATCCATTTCCTCCAGTGGGAACATCTTGTAAAATTACGGTACAAATTCACCACCAAGAATGTTCAAAAAGCTCCGAGATGATGTGCTGTATGCTAGAAATTGACACAGCATTTTAAACTGACTATACTTCAATTAAAAAAGAAAAAAGCTCCCAGATGAGTGTCAGGTCAGGGCAGCCAGCTTTGGGAACTTAAGAACTTAAGATGAGAAAGAATGCTTGTTAGTTTCAGGTGCACAGCAAAGTGACTCAGGTACACATACATACATACATACACACATACATACACACATACATACATACATAATGGGTGGTAGGATGGGTAGGTAGATGGATGGAAGGGTTGATAGGCAGGATAAAAGGGAGAGAGAGAGGAAAGGTAGGAAGAAAGAAAGAAGGAGAGAAGAAAAAAGAAATGTTGATGGGTAGGTAGGTTTGTGGGTTCATAGGTGGATGGATCGATGGGTGGGTGGCTGGTTAGGTAGGTTCGTGGGTTGGTGGATGGATGAAGGGTTGATAGGAAGGAAGGAAGGGAGAGATACAAAGAAAGGTGGGTGAGTGAATGCATGGATAGGTACGTAGGTAAAGGTGCATGGCTAGACAATTGGATAGGTAGGAAGAGAGAGGGAGGGAGAGGGGGAGAGAAAGAAAGAAAGGAGAAAGAAAGAAAGAAAAATGCGTAGGTAGGTGCATTCGTTGGTAGATGGATGGATCGGTTGATAGGAAGGAAGGAAGGGGGAGAGAGGGAGGGAGGGAGAGAAAGAAAACAAGTAATTTTGCTATGATTTTTAAAAATGAAAATTGTTAAAATTTTACTTTTCAACTTCCAAATGAACCCGTAGTAACTTACCCAATGCGTGAAACTTGATGTTTTTGTAAAAGCAGTTTCTGTAACTAAAGAACAGTAAAAACATAAGAAGCCCGTACATATGTGGGTAGCATAAATCTATGTCAGTGACCTATTCAAGGAACTACAACTAATGAGGGAAGAATTTTGTGGTAGTAACAAAAATACAAATTCTCAAATATATCCAAATCTTAGGAAAAAAAATCCCCAAATTAACTCTGTGAAAAATAGTATATATTATTTTTTTAATAACTCCTAATACCCTCCTTGAAAATACCAATTTATTAAGCTTTGTAAAAGATATTTAGTTGTGATGAAAGTAGATGTCCTGGGTGACATTACTTAATTATGAAGCAATTCATACTTGATACAAATAAAATTTACATTAAGAATGGAGAAATATGAGGGTTGTATTCAATACCTAACGGTCACTTTTTTCCTAACTGTATGGGCCACTTTGAACTTTATGATAACTGATCAACTGAGGTATGAAGGCCTTACAGAAAGGCCTTAATTTCAGGGGCTCAGAGCTGTTTATTGAAAAATCAGATTTTCAAGGAATATCCGATCTAGAGTAGATCATTCTTTCCCTACACTTGAATTTAACTACAATAGAATCTGGGCCCCAAAAGGAAAAAGAATTTAATTAAGCAAAGAGCAAAGGTCTATCGCCTATTCTAACCCACCACATTGTTTTTGAGAAGGAAAAGCCGGGCTGGGCTAACAAGCTAACTCGTAAATTTAAATTAATAAATGTCGGTTTACTGATCTCAGTTCTGCTGGGCTAACTCGTAAATCTGAAGTTTAGTAAGTGTCGGTTTACTGGGCTAACAAGCTAACTTGTAAATCCAAGCTCAGCAAGTGTCAGTAACATGATCTGTTTCTACTAGATAAGTTCTAGTGTACTGATTCCCTGCTTTTGCTGTTTGTGCCTTATTGGCTAATAGCCCCATGCTTGTAATTAACCCTGTAAAACCCCACGCACACGTCTTGGAGGTGCTCAGAGCTTCGGAGCAGAAGCCCCTCTGAACCCACCAGTGTAATAAATCTGAGTACTCCAACCCTCCAAGTAGTGCTTGTTTCTTGGCTGGCCTGTCGTTTCCATAACATTTCACCTTCTCTAATATGGGAGATGAGAAAAAGCAATTTAGTGATAAAGTATTTAAAAGGAATTTATAACAAGCCCTGTGTCATTTTACCAATGTCAGAATTACAAACTTAATAAAACCACCACTGATTTCTCAGGTACAGCAAACAGCTTCCTGTGTTTCTAGGATATATGAAGTTGTTCTACCCAGGACTGGAAAATTTACTCACCAGAATAAAAAGTAAAGGTCAAGATGATGAAGATTGCTTTGATCCATGGTAAGAGAGGCATTTTTTCGAGTCGGTCAAAGAAACCCTTCAGAATGTTTGTAACAATGGCAAAGAGACACATGCCCATTTCAAGGGACAGGCAAATAAAACCCACAGCCTCAGAAAGTGTCTTATTTGCAGAGGAATTACTCCAACCCCTAGACCCCAAGTTAAGATGGACTGTCCCCTCTGCTGCTCCCCCAGCCCTATAATTCACAAGAAGTATCTTGTCATCAGAAGACCGCCCTAAAGTGTAAGAGAAAACTCATGAGAAGTGCTCTGTGAACATGAGAAGAAGCTGATTACTCTCCTAAACCTTTGAGTCAACCTACGAGGAACCTGGCTGTATTCAGAGTAAACATGCACATCAGAATCTCCACGTTTTCTTATGAAAAACAGGAATAGCTGTTTCTGGAAGGACGAATCTACCCCCAGGGCTCGCTCCCTACGTGCCTCACTTGACCTACCTGACATAGAGGTTAACAGGCAGTGAAGCAACAGTGGCTGTCTTACCTTTCCTTCCCGGTCATCCCCCTCTGTCCAGGTAAGTCATTCTTGCTGATTTACAAGGGAGGTGATACAGAGAGCTCAGGGCAGCCAAGAGGCAGAGATGCTCCGTGTCCTCCCTGCGGGATACACAAAGGTCAGGAGAGATGCGTCACAGGTACTTCACAATACGTCTTCCCTCAGCAGGAGGCCTGGGACAGTTTGATCTGATGAACCCAGAAGTATGAGGAGCAAAGAAGAAAATACGTGCAGTTACAGATTTTAAGATAGAGAAGATATGTAAAAACTTTCCAAGCATGAGAGTTGGAAAGGAACAAGAGAATCAAGCAAGAAAAAGAAGAGTTTGGAAATGTTAATTCAACAAGGGCCTAAACCCTTGGAACTTTAAAAAAATATATCACTGTTTTCTAAAACATCTCCTATACAAACTACCTATAAAGGAAAGGACGAAACTTGGTTTGAAGTGTTGGAGAGAAAAATTTTCTCCACCCTTCTAGGTTCTTCTGGCTGGTCCAAGAATTAAATTGACGTAAGATAGAGTGACAGGCCAAAATCAGATCTGATTATGTAACTGTGGGGAATCTGAGCATGAGAAATTCCAAAAACAGGCAAAATGAAATAGATACACACATACACACTCAGACACCGAGAAGGATTTGCTAGGTTCCTCCCTGTCTCCCACTCCTAGTTTATATTATACTCTAGGTACCTCTAGTGATAACGCCCTTCCTGGGACAGGTCCTCTGTCTAAATTCTTTTAGGTGGTTAGGGGGAAGGTCAAAGGTTCCTCCTGAGTCTTTTGTTTCTTAAAAAGTATCAATCCAAAATAATCCTCATGCCAAAGAGATATATTTAGCGGTGGCAAATTTTGCCTCCTTACAAAAGCAAATCTATTGAAGGCCAAGTTAGTGTTGTCCAATAAATTTTCATTCTAATGAATATATAGAATAGATGCTTGAGATGTTAAGTAAACAGGACTCTTTCATGCCAGCAAATGCTTATGAAGTCATTACCATGAACCTGACAGTAATTATGG